GTGGGGCCAAGTTACAAAATTATAAATCAGACCAAATTTACTGGGGACAATTTTAAAACCTAAAATTGAGTTTTAGTGCAGTATGGGACACTGATGTAGGACGTTTGAAAACTGTGGCAAAAATCAATTCATTGGGACTAGGAAATAGATTAATTTCCTCCTTTTAAGCAGAGAGAATATGGATTTAATTGTTTACCATAAGAAAAGTGACATATCCAACCAACCATCCATCCCCACCTGTGCCCTATTCTTTCCTTGTGTTTCTTTAGAGCCTTTTCAGCTATTTCCTGTGAAGCAAACTGCACGAAGGCCTCCCCCGTACTCCTCCCCTGGAAGTCCACCGGCAATGTTATCCCATTTGGCACGATTTCCAACCCTTCAACCCAAGGACAAATAACCCCAGTAGGGGGGCAATATTAACATCACAAGCCCAGAAATGATTTCTTCTTATAGCTTTAAATAAACCAGAATTTTAACTTTAGGTGAATGGTATGCTTTCAACAAGTACTCTTTAAATATGCATTGCAATAATATGAAGTTCCATCATTACAAAGTATAACGCAATTCTTAACACACCCCATGGCACAATATGTTAAAAAAAACTTGAACACAGGATGCATTAAGAATTCAACAGTTAAAAACTATGCAATTCAATGTTGAGAATTATACAATAACTTAATAAACTTAAGCATTAAACAGTTTTACTAAATTCAAGACACACCTTTTACCTCATTTTATATTTCAAAGTTTTAAGTTATTATTGGAACTTCAAATTTAAAAACTGTACACATTTAAACATTTCATATAAAAATGGAAGCATTACTTAAGTCATGTAATGGACAAACATTCAATCTAAACTTTCAACAGAACAACTGATCTACACAGCACAATCATGCACTCTTATGATCTAACAGTAGTATGATTCACTTCTGGAAAATCCGTCTATGAAAAATCCTTTCCGTGGATACATTCCCAAGCTTACAAAAAGGGCTTAAAGCACTTTCCTAGAAGATATGAAATTATGTTCATATTTAACGTTGACAGATAGCATTCAATTCTCACCAATTTAGATAAAACAAAACAGACTTGATTCAAAAAGTTCTCACAATATTAGGACTTGATACATTCTAATAATCAAAATTTCAAAACATACTACACTAAACCATGAAAGGATTTCTTATTAAAAATCAGTTTACCACATCAATATTAATGGTATTTAAAATATATGATCTAACATTCTATTAAACATGCAATCTTAACCAGGTCTTCAGCATAAAAACATTCAAATACTTTAGGCCCAAAACAATTCCAAAACGCTTTCTGTATTTCAGATATTGAGACTAAAGTTTTCAATCTACTCACATTTGAATGACACTATTTGTGACAGGCTGGCTGAACAAAGTTGCTTCCTAATAATCTTTTGTATAGGATCAGACCGTAAGAAATGTTTGTGGTCCCACGATCGAAGTTAAGTGTCTCTTACAGAGACTGCTATAAATTATTATCTAGCTCATACTAATCTAATGTTAAGGGATCTTACCTTTCATTTGAAGTACTTTGCTGAACAGCAATGTAAGGAATAGGTAGGCTGTTGAGGACAATCCTCAAAGATCTACTCTGAACTACAACTACAGGAAAACTCATACAAGTAAAGTTAACATTTTGGAAGTATTTAATTTCCACCTTTAAGATGGGCTTAAATTATTTGAAGGTCTCCAGGAAGAAAACAGTAATTCATCAGCATATACTTACAACTTATTTCATTACCTAAGCTACTCAACTTTAAGGTCTATTAAGTCATGTTGCCAGAAGCTAGCCAAAACTCACTGCTCAGCAACAAACAGGACTACATACCTGAGAAGAACTGAACAATTTCTTCCTTGCTACATCCAAAGGGGAGTCCTCTAAGCCGTACAAAGCCATCATTGGCCGTGTCAGGACTATTTGGACCAGTATGCTTCAACACCCAATCCATTTCAACGTTGTTTGACTTGAATACTGAAAGAGGTGCTTAGAATTAGTCAATTTTGGAAAGTCAGAACACATTCCAGACTTCCTGGGTGTTTAGATAAGCTAGGAAGAGCTGCCATAAACTCCCTTAGAAGACTATTTCCATGCGGTCAAATACCTAAAATTCAGAACAGGGTAAGACTTCCAAGTTTAACGTTGTATTTACTGTTACTAGGGCAACATAAATCAAACCTTCAACATATCTGTGTCCCATAGTTTCTCTGTCTTTTTTCAGGGCCAATTTGACTTCATCTTCTGATTCAAGTTCAACAAAAGCCTCGCCACTCGGTCTGCCTTCTCTGGTGTAGATGAAACGAATACCTTGAGCCCCATTTTGAATTTTGCAGTCTGGAAAGAAAACAACCGTTAATACAGAATTTAAAACCTACAACCACCTCTGGGAGATAGAAATGAAATTCCTAATCAAGTCACCACTAAAAAGTCAATCAGCTGCAAGTCACAATGACTAAGACATTAATGACCAACGCCTAGAGCTCTCTCCTCAGTATGTAAATCGTGATCCTCTCACAATCAACCAAACTCTAAGTGATATAGTGCAATCCATCACATAAACCCAAACCAAAGCACTTTCAATTCCCTGTCTCTTAAGTGCTTGCTACTCATAACTGGCAAATCCTTTCAAAGGTCTCAGAAAATGTTTCAAGACTGAACTTCGATTTTACCGCACTTTGTGAACCCATCACAGTTTTGGTTTGGGACATCTGTTGCTTGTACCACATCAGCAACATGACAATTTCTCATTATCCAATACTCACCCGGAAAGGGCTCAATGTTATCAACTTAAAATGATCCAAGTTGAACAGCTGAACCCAAACCCAGCCTTGCCCCCTGCAAGGTGGCTTCCAGCGAACTTGCTTCTTGTTTTACAGGTCGATTTCCGCAATCAACACTGAATCCAGACAATACTACAAGTCTTTCCAAAAATGTCAAGTTTCTTGCAAACATAACTTTATCAGCCTAATCTTACACTAATAACGGGAACAAGGACATTCTGGCATTAAATATTCAAGCGACACGCAAACAAACTACAGCGGCAAACAAACTTCCTGGGCGTCAGTACCCTCCACTGCCACATGCACTACATCAATAACTAGATGAGCAAGAACTCTTTGATTACCAAATCTTGATTAGGATCATTGAAATTAAAGAAGTGGCATCTCAAACTTTCCGAGGCAGGACACGCCTTCCCAAAGAAACACCCAAATCGGAAAACCAATAGTTAAAACGCTGCAAATTACTATTTTCCCAGATACTAGTTTGCAATTTCCTCCAGACTAAAAGGGGGCGGGGGTTGGACTCATCACTCTCAGCTCATCCTTTCGCGAATGGCATCGCTAGCAGAAGGCTGGTGCATGAACGGGGACATAAAGGAAACAAAAAGATGCACCCGGGTGGCCTCGCCCCCGAAGGGGCCAGGACCGCAGGCGGGGCTTCCGTCATTTCCATTGCGTAACCGCGGCCGGCTGGGCCCGCGCCGCACCGGAGCGAACGGCTGCGGCGCCGGCTCGGCCCGCTAGGGGGCGCCACGGCCCCGCCAATCCCGATGGCCAACTCCCGCTTCGCGCGTCTCACTCACCAGAAAAAAACCGCTGCACTTCATCGGCAGAACAAGACCAAGGCAAGCCCCGGACCTTCACCACGAATCCCTCTCCGCCCTCGGTGCCCAACATCATCGTCTCCTCGCGAATCCCGGCGTCCAAGCAGCCTGCAGGATGGGATGAGGGCCAATCAGACCCTAAACCTCAGCATCCAGCGGCTCTGCGCCTCCAGGCGCCCCGCACAAGCAGCGGGGCCCGTATGGACCACGCCGCACCCCGCGTCCTGCGATGCGCACCAGGCCCCAAGCCGAGGGGCCCTGGCGCAGAGCCAGCCTGAGGCAAGGAAATGGCGGCGGCCGCTTCCGCTCCGCCTCCTCCGACATCTCACACAATAGAGTCGGTGAGGCCCGCAGGCCTCGGCGCCGAAGCCCTCAGTCAGCCGCCGGCTCCTGGCCCCACCGGCAGCACGAGGCTGGCCAAGGGTCCCGAGGCTCCCCTGGAGGCCTGGGGACAAGCAATCCTCGCAAAAATAGCATCCCCGGGGGTCGCGAGGCGGCAAACAAGAGAACCGCACTCACCAAGACACCCAACCTCGGCGTGGCTAAGAAGAAATGGCCAGCAGGCGCCTGCGCAACCTAAATAAGGCCTTTGGAGCACGTTCTGCGCGTGCGCAGTGTGAGCCCGCACCGCCCCTTTGCGTCACAGGCCTCTCAGGCGCATGCGTAATTTCACGAGCGGGCCCTCCTCCCGCCGACCATTTGTTACACGCATGCGTTTTGAGCTCGAGCTCCCCCTCCCTAATCCCGTCGGGCTTTTCCTGCGCCTGCGCTTTCCCGCAAATATTGAACTTGGAGCCTCAGCGGTTTCTAATTTAGCTTTGTGCGCATGCGTCCCCCTTCAAACGGTTCTCTAGCCTTACCCGCCGGAGTGGGGGAGGGGAATGGCGGCGGCGATTAGGGCCCTATCGGGGCCGTGTGGTACTCCCAGGCTCCATCCTTAGCCCAGGCTTGTGCCCACGCTCGGGTGGGACTTGAAGGACGAGCGCGGCTTTCCTTTCACCTGGGGCCGGCGGGAACTGCATTTGTCCCGGAGGCCCGGCCTCGCCGCGGCACCTGGGGCCGCCCGAGGCCCGTGTGCCTCCACCTCCCCTTACCTGCTGCCGTGGGTCCCGGTGCCCAGCTCTCAGCCCCGTACCCGGCTTTGGCCTAACGAACTCGCCCTGTGCGACCCACTGCCCTGCCCGGGGTCGGCGGACCCTGACCGCGGGCCTTCGCACGCACGAGGGGGTCACGCTGCCGCGCCTCGTGGGCGCAGGCTGAGCTAGCCGGTGCGTGCCGGACCCCGCGCACCGGCCACTCGGCTGCGCGCTCCGCTGGCTCCTCCCGAGGCGTCCCCGGGGCCACCCCGTGTGTGCGTGTGGCGCGATGCCCGTAGCCTCTCCCAAGACTCCCACGTCTAAGCTGGCCGCCCTCCCCATCCCACACCCGGTGCACACATGTTGGTAATCAGGCAGCGTTGGACAGGGGCAGAGCAGCTAGGACAGGCTTCGGATGCCACCACGGTAAGACGAAAGCGAAGCATCGCCAACCTCCAGGTTGCAATGGTGTGGAGGCTGAATCCTGTCTTTTAAGATAAAATAGGAGCGCAGAGGCCGGCAGAGCCAGATTGGGAAAGGCCACTTGAGCCTTGCAAAGGAGTTAACTCCAGAGTGCTGTGGAAAACACGTGCGAGGTACACGGTGCTGCATGCCCCCACTGCCCAGGGAACTAAAGGACTGGCAGGAACTTCAGCCAGATCAAGAGTCCCCCGTCTTGCAGCCAAGGAGTCTGGGTAATTGAAAAGCCCGGACAGGATCAAGACACCTCTCCTCCCCCAGTCCCTGGGTGGGTTGCCGCCTTTGAGAGCGCAGGTATTTTGGGATGATTTAACGCTGGTGTCTGATTTCATGATCTCGGGGCGGGGGGTGGGGGAAGGATCACTCTTTTTTTAATCGTCTTTTTGCTTTTTAACAACATGGCCAAATTCTCAAAGATGTTTCTTTTTCCTAAAGTTTTCAGAGATTGTCTTCCATAATAAGAGTAAATGTGATGTGTAATAATCCTAGAAAGAGCAGATTATTTCCTTAGGATATATTTCTAGAATTAAAAATCATGCAATGAGAGGACCTGCATATTTTCAGGCTATTAATAATAAAAGTTTACAGTACTTAATCCTCTCTGTGGTGTGTGAAGAGTTTCCATAGCTTTCATTCTGCTGGCAGCAAAAATTGCCTGTAATCTTTGCTAATACTGAGAAAAACCATATCTGATTTGCAGCTGATTACTAGTGACAGAAAATAAATTCCATACATTTATAGCCAATTCTCATATAAGCTGAATTATATATGAAAAACTGTCTTACATAAAAAAATTGACCTCTTCTGTAACGCTTTGATCTTGGTGTACTTAAGAAGAACCCTTTTTTAAGGCTGTTAACACTTGGCCATAGTTGCCCCAAATGTTTTTCCTAGGTTGCTTGCCTTTTAATTGTTATTATTTGCATGCTTTTTAGTGTTTTGACATCCAGAAATGTTGGTGATGTCAAAGCTGTGGATATGTTTGTTTCAGATTTGTCGGTTTTTTTAAAAGATTTATTTTTATTTTTATTTATTTGAGAGAGGAGAGGCAGAGAGAGAGAGAGGTCTTTCATCTGTTGCTTCACTCCCCCAGACGGCCACAATGGCTGGAGCTGCACCCATCTGAAGCCAGGAGCCAGGAGCTTCTTTCGGGTCTCCAAGTGGGTGCAGGGGCCCAAGGACTTGGGCCATCTTCTGCTGCTTTCCCAGGCCATAGCAGAGAGCTCGATCGGAAGAGGAGCAGCAGGAACTAGAACCGGTGCCCATGTGGGATGCCGGCACTTCAGGCCAAGGCTTTAACCCACTGCACCACAGTGCCAGCCCCCAGATTTGTGTTTAAGCTTAGAAAGTTCCTTGCAAACAGAAATAAAGTACATATACATTACCTTCTTTTGATTTATTTATTTATTTCACAGGTAGAGTTAAGAATGAGAGGAACAGACAGGACTCCCATGCACTGATTCACTCCCCTGAATGGCTGCAATGGCCTGGGACTAGGCCAGGCCAAAGCCAGGAGCCTGGAACTTCATCCAGGTCTACCATCATATGGAAAGCTGGCATCGCAGGCACTAGCTTAACCAGCTGTGTGACAACATCAGCCCTGGCAGAATCATTTCCTAAGTGGTGTATGAAATAATGGTGATAAAATCAATAATAGATTTGATGGGAAACTGATCTGCTGCAGTTTCTCCTGTGATGACTGCAAGGTGTCCGGCGCATAACAAATCTTCCCAGGCGGACGAATCAATTCATTCACAGGCTTTTATTGGGGTTCTGCTCCCAGGCAAGGTTCCCTGATCCCAACAGAGCAACAGAGTGGGGGCTGGGGAAGTCGCGCGTCAGAGATTGGGAGAGCTCCTTTTATAGATTCAGGGCATGGGAGTTAAAGGTTGAGGCAGGTCTGATCCTCATTGGTTGACCTTTAGGCACCCGCAGGGACCTTGACAAGGACTTTCTTCCCTGGAAGTAGGCCATTCCATTCCCAGAAATATAGGCCTTCCTTCCATGCGGATCCCAAAGCTACCATCCCGACCTTTTGATGATAGGAAAGGAGGTAACGATGAGTCTCTCTGGCTACTTCCTGCTGACTGGGGACGTTGTTTACAGGGGACCGCTGTGGGTATATTGGGGCTCCGCAGGGACAGGCATGTATGGATGGAGAAGCATCTGGTTGACTGCCTGGTTGCTGAAGGCCGTGGTTCATTCCATTATCATCTGCTGTAAACACTTAAACAGACACTGTAGTATACAAGTCAGGGTGAGAATAGCAACCAATGATCCTAAGAGTGGCATTAACCAGGTAATGAAAGGATTTCATAGAGGAGAGGAAATGAGGGGGGGTCTCTGGACCCTTGTGAGGATGGTTTGATGGACATGGTTTAAATCTGATCCCAGCCAAGGCTGGGAGAAAGGCCACTCAACTTTTGCAGGTAGTGGGGTTTGTCTGTAGAGAAATTCTGAATAATCATACAAATTAAGTGGAGGAGAGGATCATCAATACACACAGGTTGGGAATAGAGTCAACTAAGTTTTCTGATTGAGAGGCAAATAGAACCTGATAGAAGGGGCTTGATAATAATCTGGTGGGCTTTAGGCCTTATAAGTTAAGAGGCCCAGACCTGTCTGTCTCTTCACATGGGGTACATCCTAAGGGAGATATGAACCTCCTTGGGGAAGGAACCCTGTTGACTTCCATTACCTGACTGGCCTGGGAGGAGAGCTGGCTAGGTGAAGGCAGGTGGCATCTCTTTTCTTTTTTTTTTTTTTTTTTTATTTTTTGACAGGCAGAGTGGACAGTGAGAGAGAGAGAGACAGAGAGAAAGGTCTTCCTTTGCCGTTGGTTCACCCTCCAATGGCCGCCGCGGCCGGCGCGCTGCAGCTGGCACACCGCGCTGATCCGGTGGCAGGAGCCAGGAGCCAGGTGCTTTTCCTGGTCTCCCATGGGGTGCAGGGCCCAAGCACCTGGGCCATCACTCCACTGCACTCCCTGGCTACAGCAGAGAGCTGGCCTGGAAGAGGGGCAACCGGGACAGAATCCGGCCGGGACTAGAACCCGGTGTGCCGGCGCCGCTAGGCGGAGGATTAGCCTAGTGAGCCGCAGCGCCGGCTGGCAGGTGGCATCTCTAACAGGAAATTTACAGTTCTGCCTGCAGTGTTGCTGACCCTACTTGGCCATCTCCTCTCAGCAGCAGTGGTCACTTTGGAAGCTAGGCTGAGTGAAGGGCTTTTCAGCTTAGAGCCAATAAGATCTGTGGCTCTGACCTGAAGTCCTTCGACTCCAGGGCAGGTCCGTTTCCAGTAATCCAACTCTTGGCTGGCAGAGCTGCCAGGGCTCTTCACAAGCTGACTTCTGCTGAAGCCCAGGCTTACCACACTGAAAGTCACTGCAGTGGACTGGCCTTTTTGGTCTCCTTGAGAGCAGATCACTGTACAGAATAGCCATTAATAGGCTGCCACCTATCTTTCCATTTCTGATGCCCAGCTTTCTTTTCCTCCTGATTTTTGTTAAAGCAGACCAGAGGATGCAAGTCAAGGGGGTGTTCAAGTCCCAGATCACTTACTGACAATAGTAGTATCAAATGAAAATTTAGAAAGCAGTTTCAATCATTAGATAACAAATACAGCAGTTTCAATTAAACTTTAACTGTTTTTTAATTTACCAATTGATTGCTACCAATGACATGTTGTAGCCATTTAAATTGTATTTTTATAGATTTTATTTAAATGTGAAGTGATCCTTCTGATATAGTATGTGGGGGGGGGATACAAAATTAACAAGCCAACATGTAAAAATTAGCAAAGCTACCATGTAAAACTATGTTAATGTTATATTAAAACCATGTAGCAAAAAAAAAAAAAAATACATGTAGCACTAGCAAAACTATGTCAATGTTATATCAAAACAATGTAGCAGTAGTACAAAAAGAGACTGTACACTGAAATAAGTCCAAGGTATATTTGAGAGTTTAGCACTGGTAACAGAATGGAAAGTATTGTAATGTCTGTTGTCAAAACCTGGGTTAAACCCCTGCCTATGACAATGGCATCCCATTACTGAGTGCCAGTTGACTCTTAGCTACTCTGCTTCTGATCCAGCTTCCTACTAATGCACCTAAGAAGACAGAAGAAAATGGCCAAGTAGTTGGGCCCCTGCCAATCATGTGAGAGACCAAGATGGAATGTCTGACTCCTGGCTTCAAACTGACCCAAACCTGGCTGTTTAAGGCATTTGGGAAGGGAACCAGGGAATGGAAGCTCAACTGACCTGTCTCTGTCTCTCCTCTTCTGTCTCTCTGCCCTTCAAATAAGTAAATCTTCAAAACAAACTAATGACTGGTTGTCAGAGTTTAGGATTTTAGGGTTCAAAACAGGAGAAGAGATGGCTAAAGTAGAGAAGACTTTATTTTAGGGAGGACAGAATGGGGGGATGGGGAGAGGGAGAGGTTGAGGGTGCAAGGACAGAGGGCAGGGAGTTTAAAACCAGGCTTCATTCTGTTTGAGTAGCGGGCAGAGTCCCTTCCTCAGCTGCTTGTTGGGGGAGGTGAGAGGTGCGAAGCAGTACAAGGGCCTTGATAAGGTGTGGGGGGTGGTGGTGCAGAGAGGCTCTTACAGTACATTGTCTTAGAGTTTGGAATGGCCCCAGGTGCTAGGCTTTCCAGCGCAGTCAACATCCCAGTTCCTTTTAGATGAACTACCTGTGCCCCATTTCAACAGGCCTGGGGGTTCAAGCCCAGTGTTCTCACAAATCCAGCATTTTAATACATATGTAGAAAGAAAGAAAGAAAAAACTTTGTGTTACATATCACCTTTGGGTGTTAGGGCTCAAGAAAAGTTGAACAATTTATGGAGGATAAAGGCACTCAGGAATGCACTTGATCAAATTCCCAGGAGGAAAACAGCCACATAGGAGAGTGAAGTTTGTTGTTTGTATTGGATGGAGGGAGGAGAGGGGGTGGCAGCCTTGAGAGGTTAGGACAAGATCGGGGTGCTGTCCAAGGTCAGACAGGGGAGGGTCTCAGAGTTTTGTGAGCAGTGATCTCTTCAGACTCTTCTGGAATAGAAGCAAAGAGGCTCAGGTATCAGGGGTTGTGATGGCCACCTCTTCAGACACTTGCCCCAGTTGTCTTCCTGGGTCAGGGCAAGTTCTGACCTGGAGAAATGAATCCAGGCAGAAAGCCTGACAGTTGAGCCCCTGTAGTAGCTAAAATGACCCAACAAGGCCCACTCCAACTGGATTCGAGTGGCTTTGGATTGAGTGTTTAATGGAGAGAGTCCTTAAGAGTGTTTTTTAGGAGGGTGTCTGGGCCCCTTCCTGTTTCTTTTCTCTCCTTGTCTGGATGGAGGGCTTCCTGGGTGTGGAATTCCTGAGATTTCTCCCAGGACTTCACCGTGAACTCAGCATCCTCCTTCATACACGGTGGGGAAAGTTTTCCCTAACCTGCCCCTGCCGGAAGGTTGGGACTCCCCCAGCAAGGTTGTTGTAGGATTCTCATGGTGCAGGGTGGTGGAGATTTTTTTATGCTGCCCCCAGGGAGAGAGCTGTTGACAGGGTTATGAACAAAGGCAAGACTTGTGATCATTTAGCCACACAGAATTCCCATTTTTTCTTGCTCACATAGGCTAGTATCTACCTAGCTAGTTATAGGAGAGTGCAGAAATTTATGGCCCTACCTGTAAGGCCCACAAGGAGCCCAGGCCGTCTCCTCCATACTGATGCAGGCTGAGAGAAGAACTTGTGACAGGCTCTGTGATTCTGATCCAGTGGTCCAGGCTCACTCCCAGGGCCCAGGTTTTTGGCAGAGTGGGTGGAGCTTCTTTGGAAGCCAGCCTCTGTCAATGGCAGCTGTTAGATGCCCTGGCTTTTTGCATCAACAGGGGAAATATTGGTGGGATAGACTGGCTTAGTAGGGTCTCCTTGATGACAGATCACCACATAAAACAGCTATTAATCTTAACAGATTGGATCTAACAGGTCAGTTACTTTGTATCATCTATCTATCTATTAGGATACTGTTTTTATGTTCCGGGACTTACTTACTTTCTTTCTTTCTTTCTTTCTTTCTTTCTTTCTTTCTTTCTTTCTTTCTTTTTTTGACGGGCAGAGTGGACAGTGAGAGAGAGAGAGAGACAGAGAGAAAGGTCTTCCTTTGCCATTGGTTCACCCTCCAATGGCCGCTGTGGCCGGTGCGCTGCAGCCGACATGCTGCGCTGATCCGATAGCAGGAGCCAGGTGCTTCTTCTGGTCTCCCATGGGGTGCAGGGCCCAAGGACTTGGGCCATCCTCCACTGCACTCCCTGGCCACAGCAGAGAGCTGGCCTGGAAGAGGGGCAACCGGGACAGAATCTGGCGCCCCGACCGGGACTAGAACCCGGTGTGCCGGCGCC